TTTTTTTTTTCTTTAAAGCTTATTTATTTTGAGAGAGGGAGAGGGAGACCGAGTGGAGGAGGGGCAGAGAGTGAGAACCCCAAGCAGGACCTGCCTTGTCAGCGCAGAGCCTGGCACGGGGCTTGAACTCACAAACTGAGATCATGACCTGAGCCGAAGGCGAGAGTTGGACTCTTGGCTGACTTAGCTGCCCGGGCGCCCCACCTTCCCTCTTTTCTCTTCTAATATAGGAGTGATTTTTGTAATTGGGAGCGTTGTGCAGGCCGAGAACAGGGGCTCCTTCCTGGGAAAAGCCTGAACACCCTCCCCCGCCCCCAGGACTGACCACAGAGCCGTGCGTGTTGGGTCCCCTCCCTCGAATCGTGCGCGTCTGCGCCGCCCACTGACCACCTGTTTCGCAGGACAGTAGCTCCTCTTGGTGTGCCGGGGGTGTCCAGGGGCCGGCCACCGTTAAGAGTCCCCCGCTGTTTCTGTCTGTGTGTAAGAGTGGGGCCACGGCGAACGTTCTGCCAGGGCCTGCAGCCACAGCACGGAGGTGCCCCGCGCGGCATTGCTCGTGGCGGTGGAACCCCGCGATGCTGTCAGGGTCGGCCTGCTGTGTGGCCTAAGCCCTGCCACCTGTATTAGCACGAAGCGGGCAGTGGGGGGCCACGTCCCGGTCCCCGACTGCGCAGACGGAGGAAGTGCTGCGCCCCCCGCCCCGGGGTGGCTCACTTCACCTTCCTGGAGGGCACACTGGGCCAGTGACCGGCACCGGAGGTCACGTGGTGGAGGGCAGGGGGGCGGCGTGGCTGGCGTGCCGTGAACACGGTGCGCCGTCCCCCGTGCCCTTCCCGGGCTGACCGCCCTGGCCCCCGGCAGAGTTCCCTGTGGCCCATGACCTTCGGCCTGGCCTGCTGCGCCGTGGAGATGATGCACATGGCCGCGCCCCGCTATGACATGGACCGCTTCGGCGTGGTCTTCCGCGCCAGCCCGCGCCAGGCGGACGTCATGATCGTGGCCGGCACGCTCACCAACAAGATGGCACCGGCCCTGCGCAAGGTAGGCCTGGCCCCGCGGCCCGCCCCCCGCCCCGGCCCGAGCCGCGCCCAGACCCCGCCGTCTCTTCCAGGTCTATGACCAGATGCCGGAGCCTCGCTACGTCGTGTCCATGGGCAGGTGAGTGCCGGGCGGGCCCGCCACAGACACGCCCGTGATGTGCCAGCGTGTTTCCCGCCGGTCTGTGCCCGCTACCCTGCCGTCGCGGTCCCGGAGCCCCGGGTCTGCGTCCGCGGCCCGCCCCAGAACGTCCCTCCCGTCCGCGCAGTCGCTCCCGTTCTGTCTGTGCCTGCCTTGGCCTGCCCTGTGCGTGCTCCGTCTCCTCGCCTCTCCGCGTGCCGCCCACTGACCACCCTCCCTGCGTCGTCAGGCGGTCGCGTCACTCAGCTCTTGTGTCGAGCCGCCTTAAGTTCATCCTGTTCCCGTGCGCGGGTCCGTGATTTTCTCTAATCCCAGAACATTCGATCGGCCCGGAAGGAAACCCTGTCCCCCTCCCCGGCCCCCGGCCCCCACAAGTCCCTCTCCTGTCCCCGGATGAGCCCGTTCTGGACGTTTCACACACGCGGACTCACACCCCGTGTGGCCTCTCGTGTCTGGTTCCCTCCCTGAGCATCGTGTGCTCGGGGTCCGCCCATTTGCTTCTGCTCTGCCTGATCCCGCAGAAGGCGTCAGGTGGCCATTCTGTTTCCTGTGCCTCCACCCCGCACTCCTGCCCGCTCCTGACGCCTGTGTGCCCTGGAAGGCCGCCGTGATTGGGGGGGCGTGTAGGGAGGGCAGGCCGGGGTGGCCAGCGTGGCCCACACGTGCCCCCCCTGCAGCTGTGCCAACGGAGGCGGCTACTACCATTACTCGTACTCCGTCGTGAGGGGCTGTGACCGCATCGTGCCCGTGGACATCTACGTCCCAGGTAGGCCCGCGCGGCCCCCGCGGCAGAGCCCTGCCCACACCCTCCCGCTCCACGGGGCACCTGCACTCCAGAGACAGTGGGCTCCCCCCATCAAAAGGAGGGTCAGATTTCGGTCCAGGCAGAAGGGTGAATCCCCGGCCTCCCCCTCCCCTGCCCCTCGAAGGTCTCCGCACCCGAAGAGTCTTGGCTTGTATCCAGATGTTGGAGCAGCCTGCTGCCGAAGCCTGGCCTGAGCCGGCGGGGGAGGGGGGCTGCAGGCACCTGCCAGCTTTAAACTACGTTTCGTGTACAAAACCAGAAAAAAAACAGCCAAAAATAAGGGAACCGTGTGCACGGTTCTCATTCTCGCCAAGGAGAGCGAGACTCCCCTGGGCCCAGATTGCCGGGGTGGCCAGATTCAGGAAATAAAAATCCAGGGCAACCCCCCCCC